TAAAATGCATACACATTAATATATGATGCACAAGATGATAATAGAATTGTGCATCTTTTCAAAGCTGTATAGTTCTTTTTTTCTGTTTTTTGTTCACGTAATTGTGGTTCTGGTTTTTGTGTGAGATATAACAAATAGTATTAGTGAAAATTCCCTCATTGATATTCAAATTCTGGTGCGTCTCTGATAGTGATTGAAGTATACAAAAGGACAATGGATAAAATCACAGGAACTAAGCATTGCTCTTTTAAATATAGTTTGTGGTAAATAAGCATACCATCCTGCGATCATCAGGAGGTAGATAGTTTTGATATACACAAGTAGGTCTGAATGTAATATTTGCTATAGAGGTTTCTTTTGTGGGCTTGCTGTTCTCTCGGTGGCTTACATTGAGTTTCACTTCTGAATGTTAATCCTTTCTTGGTATTTACGGTGTGAGTAATATCCCTTGTCTTATATATCAGATACAAAAGGCAAATGATGATTACGAGAGTTATGAAAGCGGAAAACCTGCTAAAGATCGGTCTGCAACTGATGTTTCATCAATCTCAGATTCCATTCAACCTGATATTCCCAATAAAGAGGAAAAAGACCCTTCTTCAGAAGCAACCAAAGCTCCTAAGGCTGAAACTAAAGTCGAGTACAAGAGGACGCTCTCTGGTGGCCTTCAGAGCCCTAAAGCAAATGTGCCACCGAGAGCAATATTGCAAAGGATTAATTCCAAGAAGGCCGCCAGTTCATATCAATTAGGTCAACAACTCTCCCTCAAATGGTCATCAGGTGCTGGCCCAAGAATTGGTTGTATTGCTGACTACCCTGTTGAATTGAGATTACAGGCATTGGAACTTACTAACCTCTCGCCACGAGCTTGTCCTGAATCATCGACCCCAAGAAGGATTGCTGCTGTTGCTTCGCCTACAGCTGCACAGCATGTAGGCAGAACTTAGTAATGGAAATATAACGAGCTCTTGACTTTCAGTCCCGTGTTTTTGGCTTCTCTTCTAGCATTTCTCCTATAGTGTCGTGTTGCGTATTCGTACATAATCTGCTGATATTTACTTTACAATCTCAACATGTAGCCTGATCTGTCCCTGCGTTACATAATATTTTCTGCTCTGTTTGAGAAACTTAATGCAAGTAGTTGAGACAGATTTTATGTAGCATTTGCTGTCAAATAATGAAGACTCTGGTTATTTTAAGCTCCACTTATCTTTATAATTTATATTATATGTAGTAGTATCAGGAATCATAGGCGGATTCAGAAATTTATATTTAAATGTCTGAAATTTAAGAAATTCAATTTATAGAAGTTCATAGATAAAATAGAAGTTATTAAATTACATTTATGTACGCGTTTAGATATATAATATTTTTCATTGATCCTAAATAAATAAGTTACTATAAAATATACTTTTCAAACAACAACCGTCTTTTCCTAAACAATATAAAAGAGGCAGTTTTTTCTGGACACGTGTTGGATTCTCCTATCGTCAATCAAAACTATGTCGTTCGAGCATTTCTCTATTTCTTTTCATTTCATTTCTTCTTTTCACTCTCTCCCTCTGTACAAGAATGAAAACAATCAAAAAACCCTAGCTGCATTCCCCAGATTTCTCGTCGGGCGTAAGCATCCAATCTCCACAAAAAATCATGGTATCTCCTTCTCTCTATTTCACATGAAAACACGAGTGAGTTTAATTGGCTGATTTTGGCTCATTGTGTGGTTGTGTGCAGGCGGATGGAGAGATCGATGTTGCAAATGGGTAACTGAAGAAGATGACGTTCAAGAAGTTCACCTTTAGGGGCATGGACCTCAATGCCATCCGGAGAATAATGGGTAGGGAAAGTGTTTGATAAATGGTAGGATTAAGTTTTCTACTTTAATAATTAGTTTTGCTATGGGTTTATATAATAGTTTATTCAATTTGTTATTATAAGCACTCTTTAAAAAAAAAAAAAAAAATCTCCATGCATCACGGAGACACCGTGTCCGCGTCGTGTCCACGTGGTGTCTGGACACGACGCGGACACGGGCACACGGTGTCCGAACAAGACGCGGACATGGGCACCGTGTCTCCGCGCTGCATGGAGGAATTTTTTTTCCTCTTCTTCTTCTTCTATTTTATGAGGAGATTACAATTCTTTTTCTCAATTTTGTTCTCGAGTTCATCTTTATATAATTTACCTTTGTAGACCGATTTGATGGAACTCACTTTATATAATTTACCTTTGTGTGTCTTCTAAGCATGAATTGGGTGTTTACAAATGGAGTTGAAACTAATTTAAGCTCACAATAATTTTTTTTCCTGGGATGCACACTGTTTGAGTTTAATCTATATCCAAGTTTGTACATATGGTCTCCCAGATTCCCATACATGTCCAAATATTTTTTTCCATTCTTATTTTTTATTATTTATAATTAAATAGTTTCTTATTGATTTCAGTTTATAACGAGATCTAATTGATTTTCCAAATGGTACTGAGAAACAGTTATAACTTGGAGTTTTGAACAATAGTTGTCAAAAAATAATGATATAATTTGAGGAGCAACAGTGTCTAGCAGTAGGTAATTTAAATTTCTTTTTTTGTCTTTTTATATGCAATATGATTTTTCCATATATTTTAAACTTTAATTGTATTCTTGAGTTAAAGAATTTACTAAGACATGAATGTTGTATGAAAACAATATGAAGATATGAACCTCTTTTTTTGTATATACTGTGCAATGTGAACAAGTAACTTAAAGTCATGTTTTAAGGGGTCTTTAAGGTTGAGGGTGTTGTGTATATGTTTTTCGATATCTTCAACTATGGTCTTGAATATGATATTTATGAGATTTTTTGTTGAGTCTGAGATTTCTTGTTATTTTTTTTCCTTCTTTCACAAAATCGAACCACAAATATCTAAGGTCTGTTCTTTTGAAGATACGTTTTATTTTCATTTTTTTTGTTCGACCTTTGTAGATGTCGAGTTCAAGATACGTAAAGTTATGTTCAGGGGGTGGTTAGGGTTTAGGGTTTTATGTCTATGTTTTTCAATTTTTTCATCTGTGGTGTTGAATATGAAATTTGTGGTTGAATCTATGATCTGTTTAAATTTTTTCAATCTTTTGGTGTTTAGTTTTAGATCTTCCACTTTTTGTTCTGTATTTATGAGATCGAACTAAAAATACCTAAATTATGTTCATTTCATATTTTTGTTTTGTTTTTGTGTTTTAATTTATTACTTTTATCTTTGATTCGAGTTGTGTGAAACTCTTACAACAAAATGGACATTTTGTTTTTTTGGTTTTCTTAGGAGATCGACCAAAAAATGCCTAAACATTATTGAGAGGCCGTTGTAACTTGGAGTTTTGGAGAAAGGTTTGGCAAAAGTTAAAGAATGTAATAAGCCACTGATGTTGTATAAATTGTGGAATGTGACAAAGTAATAGACATGGTTTAGTTGATTATTATAAAACTTGATTCAGTTTTACTATTGGTCGGTTTTTTGTGTTACCCTTAGAGGATGAAGACTAAGGTGAGAAATGGTTTCGGAACTTGTAAATTAGGTTTAGTTGTGCTGTTTATGATGGAATCAATATGCCGTTGTGTTAATTATATGGGTTACATAAGTTTAGTTGAAGTATGTGCTTTTGTATTGAAGAGTGTGCTTTTACGTGTGGAACTTTTCGATTTCCAGCCTTAAGTTTACTCCACCATTTATTACTTTTATTTTATGTACCTAAAATATTTTCATTTCAAGCTTTTGTTGTGTGTTTTGGATTCTAATTTATTAGTTTTATTTTTTTTCCAAGTCGTGTGAAACTCTTGCAGCAGAACATAACGTTAGCAACAAAATTTAGGAATGCTGATCGCAGGTACGTCGATTTCATATTTGGTTTGTTTGAAAGTTACTTTTTTAAAAATAATTGGTGATGTTTGCAGATTTGTTTTTTAGTTTTAGACTCTAATGTTCTTTGATGTTTCAACTAAATTTTGTGTCTTCATTATTTTAATTTATGTCGTGTTCAATTGTATATATATATTTTTATTTCTTGCAATGAGTCCTTCATCGAGTCGATTGAGGTTTGTTTAACAAACATTGAACATCGATTCATTTGAATGGGTTTATGTATGAGCATGTTGTCATCAATGTAATTTGTGGGTTTCTTTATGTATGACTCCGACATGTAAATACCGAAAAACAATATTGGGTCGTGTTTGTCCAAGCATAAATAATAGGTTTTTTTAATAGTGGAGTTTTAAATCTGTATGCATCATGATGTGGGATTTTGTAGCCAATACTCCTTCAAATATTTTTTTATCACGACTCTCTTTTTGAAATTGTCGATAAAAAATTCTTGTAACTCATATGTAGTGCTTATGAATGGCACTATTTCTTATCATATAGCAGTTATTGTATCTATTGGTTCCAAGAAAATTGGTCAGGTTATTGCATAAATAGAATCCTATAGTATAGCACTCCATTATAGGTTTGCCAGAGTGTAAACTTCCTCTATGAGTTCTTGTAGATAGTGTTCAATTTCTACTTCGTCAATGCAACACATTTTTACCTAAGGCAGTAAATTTGTTAATATATCATTTCTTCACTGCAAATGCTCAAGGCTTTGCAATTTTTAGTGAATGGTCTCTTTCTACAACTATTTTGCTACACGAATCATTTTGTTTTTTTACAAAGACACTCCAATATGTAAGTGGATATATTGAACCTGGAAAGCGTAAAATAAGAACACCAACTATATTTTCATTGAACACTTTCACCCAATTCTTTGTTTGCATCTATAATTCGGGATAATCAAAGGTAGTTTTTTTTCCTTGGTAACAATGTTATTATCTAACATTTCTTTCAAGAAAAGTAGTTCTGGATATTATAAATGTTACTTCAAAATGTGTTCTAATTTATCTTACGTAAACTACGAAGCTCAACACTTATCTTTCACGTTTCAATTATCAGTAGTACTAAAAAAGATTTAATTAGTGATGTCTCAAAAATGACAAAAAATCACTCCACGCTATTACATAGTCAACTACACTACGGCACGTGCCTTGCACATGCGTCTCACTAGTACCTTAAAAAATATATAGTAATATGCTCAACCATGTTTGAAATAAAAAGTTTGTAAACAAAGCAAAATTACATTATTGGTCCCAAGCTATGTAATTGTATTAAGTCTTGGTTATTAACTTTATATACAATGATTTAGTTTCTGTTAGGCAAATTGTTGTTAAACGACCTCCCGGATAATGATGTTCATCGTTAATTATTCAGTCGGCATCAACTAATGATTGAAGTGAAACATCGACACCATGATTGTACCGACCTAAACCTATAACCTAATTGGGCCATTGGAAGTAGCCTAATTTAATTAGAGCTACTCATGGCCCAACCAATTATCCATTGGACGGCTTTTGATTGATAGCTCATTTACCACCACCTATGTGTTCTTGGGCCTAATCATTGTCTAACCTAAAAGCCCACTACTATGCTACATATGTTGACCCCCGTTTTGGTTTTTGGTTGTGTGAAAGCGTCATTGTCTGCCCTCTGTTTTGTTTGAGTGAAAACTGACCGCTTCTGCTTCGTGCTCTCTACTCTTGCAATTTTTCAGTTTTCATCTTCTTTAGCCTTTGTGGCAGCAATATAACACTCCACTGTGTCCTTTGTGGGCAATGCCAAGCAATTGAGATCGTGGTGGTTGTAGGTTTGATTTGGGTTGTAGAACTTCGTCGATTCGATATTCTTATGAAATACTGAGCCTGAAAATATTGGAGTCAATATTTCGCTCTACAGTTTTAGTTTTTGAACATTTTATTGTGGTCGCTGAATAAATTTACAACGATGAGTGATGGAACTAGAACTAGATACGAGGGTCGTAGGTTAGCTAATTTAGAGAGAGAGAGAGAGAGAGAGCGAGAGAGAGAGTAATATTACGTAATCAATAATT